GGTGCCAGGAAATGACCATTTCCAGCAAGAATGAATCTAACCATCTTCCCTTGATGTTTAATAGTAAAACCGTTACTGCATCCTTCACAATTAACATCCTCAGCTTTACCATTGACCAGAAACTGAGTTGGACTAGCCATGTAGCCACATTAGTTCTTAGAGCAGTTCAAGGTTAGGGATCTTGCATGAGCACCTCACCTCCTGACTATGTAGTGGATCACTTCGAAATATTAACTAAATCAGAGGGAGTTGACACCCTAGTGGTATTATCAGTAGACCATGTGTCCAGAGATCACCCAGGTAATGTTTTGGGGACCTGGGTCTTAAACCCCTAATAACAGATGGTGGAATTTGAACTCAATTTAAAAAATGGTCTGGAATCAAGAATCTAACGATGATAGTGAAGCCATTGTTGATTGTCAGGGACAACCCGGACTGGTTCACCAACATCCTTTAGGGAAGGAAACTGCCATCCTTAGCTGGTCTGGCCTACATGTGACTCCAGACCCACAATAATGTGGTTAACTCTTAACTGTCCTATGGCCAATTAAGGATGGGCAATAAATGCTGGCCCAATCAGCGATGCCCTCAACCTGTGACTGAATAAAGAAAAATTAGGAACATCATGCCTGATGTAGCCATTGTCTTATCAGACTGCAACTTAAAGCTGCAGATTAAACATTACAAATTTTATTTTCAAGTGAACTGGTCTATTGGAAATACTAACCAGCTGCATGCAAGTCTTAAATTCTACATGTAAATATGTAGACTATTAGACAACTACTCAGTATAATACTAAGATACTTGACTCAATGCGAGAGAACACACTGAGGTAGCAACATCGAAATCTTCACCTTTCAGCTAAATCAATTGTTGATAAATGCCATGACACCGATTCTGTGCATACTGGTGATACTACTTTGAGTAACGTTTGGTTATTTATATTGGGAGAGTCAGATCAATTTTCATGGTACAGGTATATCCATTTTAGCTTGGCATCAAAGAGATTGGCTGGAGACCTGTACTTGGACAGGAGTAGAATTCTTGATATATCAGCATTTTGATCTATTAAACATACTGAATTGTCATTTCAAATTGCAGTTTTTAGAAATGTTGTTGTACCTCACTGGGTTTTTCACAAAGCAAAACAGAATTTACACTGCATAAGTAAAACAACTGTAGCTGTCCTGATGCAAGGACATATGGCGTATTTGAACATTTTTTGCTTTTTTGCCCGAGATATTTCAACTGTGTATTGTAGGCAAGTTTGGCATGATTATGCATATGAATAGAATGGTGCTGCTTCTTTTACCAAGGAGCTTTGCATGCAATTCATTCAGGCTATTTTTGTGTTAAACCCATTCCTGCACATAAAATTTCCGAAACCTTTGTGCATTTACACCCCAGTGGGGTAGTGCACTGAAAATCAAGCCCTGCTATTCCTGGAGTCATCGCAAAATTTAAAGATGTTCAAAAAGTACAAAAAATTAACCAATTTAACTGTCTTTTTGAAACAGGTTGACAGAAAGCATGAATCAGGGTTTTCTGACTTAAGAACAGTTACTTTTTATGGCAAATAGATTCTAGCTAGATAAACAGTTATGAACTATTGACGTATAATTCCATGAGTTAAAACTCTAAAACCCTTTATAAACCTCCCTCTCCACACAGACACAGACTCAAAAAAACATGGGTGTGATGGGTGGATGGAAAGACTGGAAAGACAGTTAAGTGGTCCATAGTCACAGAGTTCACTGAGATGATCCCTTTGACTTGTCAGGACTTGCTGACACTCAAGCTTCCTTAGAATTATATAGTACAGAAGAGTCCATTAAGTCTGTACTGCCAAAACTACATAAGTCCCGCTTTCCAGCATTTGGCTCATAGTATACTCCAGGTACTTTCAGTTGCTTGCAAGGAGCACAGGGTGACTAATTCACACTTGTAAAGTTTCTGATTTATTAGTTAAGAACCACAAATAATGAAGGAGAATACACTGGTTTTCTTCAAGATTCCAAACTTGCCATTCTTTTTATAGCAGAGAAAAGATGACCCCTTCCTTTTAGAAATCCAATGACTTAAGACCAAATATTCATACCTACAGGTTGTTCAACTATCTAGGAACCAATCACATAGTTGTTCGCAGGCAAAGGGCAACAACATTTTAAAGACCAGTCAGCTACTTGGCCGAATCCCCCTTCATACACACTTCCTGACTCCAGCTCATCTGTGGTAACCTAATTAAAGTTCTATACAACTGCATCATAACTTGTCAAGTTTTATACTTTATGCTGTGACCAATGAAGGCAAGCATGCCATATGCTTTCTTGACCACCTTATCCACTTGCTTTGCCAATCTCAGGAAACTGTGAATCATTGATGCTTCTCAGGGTTATGCCATTTTCTGTACACTTCCCTCCTGCATTAGACCATCCAAAATTCATCACCATGCATTTTTCCAGATTAAATTCCAGCTGCCATTCCTTCACCCAAGTCTCCAGCCTATCTATATCCTGCTGTATCGTGTGGCAATCTCCTCACTATCCATAGCTCCCCCAACCTTTGTGTCGTGCGCAAACTTATAACAAATTTACCACCACTTAAATGATCCTCTCAATCATTAATATATATTACAAACAACAGGGGTCCCAGCACTGATCTCTGTGGAACACCATTGGTCACAGACCTCCTGTCAGAAAAACACCCTCCCACTGCTATCCTGTGTCTTCTATAAGTAAGTCAATTCTGTATCATCTTACCCACTCACTGCAGATGACCCATGTGACTTCATCTTTTTAATCAGCCTACCAGGAGGGACCTTGTCAAAGGCCTTGCCCAAATCCATGTAGAAAACATCTGCTGCTCCTCCCTCATCACTCATCTTTGGCACTTCCTCAAAAAACTCAATTGTGTAGACATGACTTCTCCACGCAAAGCCATGCTGCCTATCACTAATAAGGTCCATATTGTTCCAAAATTAAGTAAATCCTGTCCCAAGAATCTTCTTCAATAATTTCCCTGCCACTGACGGAAGGCTCACTGGCCTGTAATTTCCTGATTATTCCTGTTGTCCTCCTTAAACAAAGGAACAATGTTGGCCATTCTGTAGTTCTCTAGGACCTCAGCTGTGACTGAAGAGAATTGAAAGTTTTTGCACAAGTCCCTAGCAATTTCCTCCCTCACCTCCCTCAATATTCTAGGATAGATCCTATCAGGTCCTGGCGACTTTTCAAAACACTCAACGCCCTTTTTTATATCAACACACCCGAGAATATCAGCATTCTACCCCTCTCTAGGCTCACCATCCCCATCTCCTTCACCTTTGTGAATACCAATGCAAGGCATTTGTTAAGAACCTCACCAACTTGTTGGAAATTGCTGAAAAAACCAGCAGATCTGGCAGCATCTGTGGAGAGAAGGCAGAGGCAACCTTTCAGGTCCACTAACTCTTCTTCAAAACACTATGAAGAGTAGATGATAGAACATTGCATCTATTAAGTTGTCTGTTGCCGCTAATGCTGACATTGGTACCAGAGCAGCTGATTTTGAGGTTTCTGGCAAGCTAGTTGACAGGGTTTTGTCCTGTTTCCTTTTTGCTGGTAATTCCACAAGCTTCCTTGGCTTCCAGCATTCAAAACGAGAGAAAATCTTTTGTTACCTAGCACAGAGGTGTCTGATGGCTGTCTTCAAGCCATGACCTTTAATAAATGCTCATCTTTATCAACACAGCAGTTGACTAACAAACACAGGCAATTTCTTTATTTTTGGATATTCTTGGGAGAGTAAAATATTTAGGGTGGCATAATGGCTCAGTGATTAGCACTGCTGCCTTACAGTGCTAGGTACCTGGGCTCGATTCCAACCTTGGGTGACTGCGTGGAGTTTGCACATTCTCCCATGAGTGCATGGATTTCCGTCTGGTGCTTTGGTTTCCATCCACTGTCCAAAGGTGCGCAGGTTAGATGGCCATGCTAAATTGCCCATAGTGTCCAGGGATGTGCAGACTAGCCATGGTAAATGCAGGGTTAAAGGGATAGGGTAAGGGGCTGAATTGGGATTGGATGCTGTTTGGAGGGCCGGTGCAGAGTCGATGGGCCAAATGGCCTCTATCTGCACTGTAGGAATTCTATGATCAACATGTCTGCAGTTTGGGGCATCATCCACAGGAGTAGACATTCTATTGATAAGTGTAGTCAGTTCCACATGATCGGACATCACAGTCCAGTTTGTTTGGAATTGCATCTGTCCCATTGGGCATCTTTTCAGGTGTGACATTCCCTGGTCTCTCATAGGGCTTTGCTCAGCAGTCATTGAATTTACATCCACAGTCATATTTTGGCTCTATATCTTCTTTTTAAAAACACACGTTGTAATTAACAGTCTAGTGTGTCCATAAGTAAATCAGGAATTTATGAATCTTGCCATAACATTACATAACTTTAATCTTGCAGTTTTATTTCCTTTTGATCTCCACTAATAGATTGTAGTTTCCATGTAACTTTTCTAAAATTAGCCAAAACTTACTCAATGCTTTCATTTCAGCTAATGAGGCACAATGAGTGTGTTAAAAATGGCTCTTATTATAGTCATAAAATAGTCCAATAGATTGATTAACTTTGATAGTTTGTACAGCTTCCAGAAGTTTTATTGTTACAGTCTATCTTGATATTGTTTAGGCCAGTTTTACCATGTTTTGTATGTTTTCTTTTACATTTATTGGTGTATTGCATTTGTTCCAGTAAAGACACAACGATTAGATTCTGTAACTGCTGATTGTTGGATGGTGGGGTACCCATCTGACTTCATGTTGTTTGCATGATTAACCAAACCTGGGGATCTCCTTTCTCATTGGAGAAAGGAAACCGACCTGGAGAAAGTTTGAATGGATTAAGATTGTATGAGAGAAATGATGACAGAATAAATAATTGTTTGTTTGATGGCTCATGTGATAATTTAAAGTCAGAAATTTATTTTACTCTCAAATTTCCTTTTGTTTTTAGCCAGGAGCAGCAGATTATCCAACTTCAGCAAAAAATACAAGAAAATGAACTCCGAGCACAGAGAGCACTTTTGGAACACTGTGATCCTGCATTCATAATAAAAACACAGGTACCTGTGTGACATTAAGACAATATGATACATCTGACTGTAAATCTTAGGAGAGGTTCGACTGGGACCTGCTATGACATGGTCCAGTCACATGTTTGGGACTTCATCATGCAAGGTGTTGAGCCTGTGACTCTTCCTTAAATACCAGCAATGTCAGATAATGTGATATTGAGTGAAGGCTTCTAATGGCGGGAATGCTCAAGGCCATGGCTTCGCTGATGAGACCAGGTTTGCTAGGCTATTGACTTTTGTACATGAGGTCCAACTGGGGACCAGACTCATAATGTAGGCTGGACATAGGAAAACATCACAGATATTAATCCGAGTGATGATGCACAAATATTCAGTGAAGATATGCATCAATACAGTTTCCCACAGCACTAAGAATCTATTTGCTGTGTCAATTAATTATTTTCAGTTGAGTCATCCCATTTATTTAAAGCTACTTATTTCAAGTCAATCAGGTATCAACTTTTGCTAAATTTGTGACGAACCTGTTGAGTCCCAATCTGGAGACTTGAACACACAACCGAGAAAAGCTCTCTATTGAAGATGCTAAGAGAGGAGGTGCCAACATTCAATGAGATGGCAAAACGAGAACCTGTCTGGCCCCTCAGAGGCACATGAAAGATGCCTCTGTTTCTGTTGTCACCTCTTTCAACACCTTGGGATGTACATCATTGAGTCTCAGAAATGAGTCATCTTTCCATATCATCAATTCAATGCTAATTGTTCAATGCTACTTTTTCTTTCTAGCACTAATTTATTTGAGTTCCTCATTCTCATAAGTCCCTTGGATCTCTATCATTCTGGGGAGATTTCATGGATCTCCCTCTGTGAAGACAGACAAAGTAATTATTTAGCTTCTCGACCATTTCTCTATTTTCCATTATAAATTCTCGTACATTTGCCTCTAATGGACCTTTACATACCTTTGCTGATATTTCCTTTTTACATACATATAGAAGTTTTTACAGTGCATTATGTATATTTCTTGTTAGCTTGCTACTGAGATTTGCAATATTTTGTTTCCCTTTTCATTGCTGCCTCCAATGTTTGTATATCTTTCCTTGTGCAGCATGAATCACCGTGTGAGAATATGCGACATACACACCACACAGAAACATCCAAAGTGATTGATTGTGGAAAGAAAGACCTGGAGCAAAAGCTGTCTGCAGCAGAGCTTGAGATTGTGCGTCTGAATGAGTGCCTCAGGAAAAACACACAAAAATACGTGGAAGAAATAAAGAAAATGGAGGAGAAGGTAAAACCCAATGACCACTGATGTTTTGCACGAACATACAAACAGCAGGAGTAGGCCATTCAACCTGTCTAGACTTCTTCACCATTTGATAAGATCATGGCTGGTCTGACAGTAACCTCAAATCCACGTTCACACCTGACCCTTACAATCTTTCACCCCCATGCTGACCAAGAATCTATCTGCCTATAGTTTCTTTGAGCTGCATATTCTCGAGCCAACCAGAGAGCAGACTATACTAGACCTGGCATTGTGCAATGGGGTCAAATTAATGAATGGTCTCATAGGGAAGGCACTTCAGGTACAGCAACCATAATGTGATTGAATTTTACAATCAGTTTGAGAAAGAGGCAAGTGGGTATGGAACATTTTTATTTAAATTAGGCAATTAAGAGGATGTTAAAGAAAAGTTGATGAAAGTAAATTGACAGATTAAATTTAAAAATAAAGATGAAGTGGCAGACACTTGAGGGGATATTTCAGAATACACATATTGGATATATTCCAACGAATAAGAAAACTTAATAAGATCAGACCCACAAATCTATGGTTAACTAGTAAAGTTACACCTTGCCGATCTGAAAATTGACCCATTTATGGCCTACTCTCTGCTTCCTATCGGCTGGCCAATCTTCTACCTATGCTATAATGCTACCCTATACACCATAAGCTTTTATTTTATATAATAACCTTTAATGTGGCACTTTATCAAATGCAGAACATCCAGCAGCTCTCCTTTATCACAGCATATATCAATTCCTTAAAGAACTCTAATAGATTGATTAAGCTTGATTTTCCTTTCTCAAAACCATGTTGACTCTGCCTGATTGCCTTTCCTCAGTGCCCTGCTGTAACTTCTTTCATAAGAGCTCTCAACAATTTTCCTCTGACAGACATTAAGCTAACTAGCCAGGTGTTTTCTACTCTGTCTCCCTCCCTTTATAAGTAGAGGAAATTACATTTGCTATCTTCCAAACTAATGGGACCTTCCCTAAATCTAGTTTTGGGAAAATTAAAGCCAATGCATCAACTATCTCATTTGGCACTTGTTATAAGACCCTACGATGAAGTATATCAGGACCCTGGCACCTATCTGGCCACAGTTCCAATAATTTACTCACCACTACTTCTCTGGCGATAGTGATTTTCCTGAGTTCCTCCTTCCCTTCCATTTCCTGATTTAAAACTCCTAGGATGTTACTTGTATCTGTATAGTGAAGACTGATACAAAAAACCTTTTGTTCAATTAAATTGCAAAGTCTTTATTTTCCATTATTAATTTTCTGGATTCATGTTTCTGTAAGACAGTATTAATTGTTTTAACTCTTCTTCTTCTATAAATATTTATAGAAACTTTTAGAATCTGTTTCTATATTTCTGGCTAACTTTCTCTCATACTTTAATTTTTCCCTCCTTAATAATTTTTTTGTGATTTTTAAAATATACTATGTCCAATCATCTGACCTGCCACTTTTCTTTGCACTATTACATGTTTCTTTTCTATTTAGATTTGATACTATCTACATCATTTCTAGGTAACTGTGACTGGTATATCTGTCCCTTGGAATTTTTCTTCTTTTGTGGAATATATCTTTCCTGTGCATTCTGGAGGATCAACTTAAATGTCTGCCACTGCTTTTCTATTGATTTATTCTTTCAAACTAATTTGCCAATTCCCTTTAACCAGCTTTTCTTTCATGCATTCATAATTGTCTTTATTCAAGTTTAAGAGCATTCTTGAAGCGAAAATATTGAAACCAAATCTATATAAGCTGTAACCCAAGTCTCAATAGTACCCTAAGACTTTGTTAAGTCAAGGAACGTTCTGTGAAACCAAATTTTGTTCAACAAGGAAACATATTCCCAAAATCTAGAGGTATTCAATAGGATTCTTAATGTTTTAAGAAATTTTAGGGATAACCAAAAATTCAAGCCTTTTCACAGAAGATTGGGGAGAAAGGGTTTGTACCTAAGTCCATGTCTGCAAATGTGCTTTTCATTGGAGTTTCACTCATCTGGAGTGTAATTTTGACTTTACCTAAGAAGTTCAATGTTTTCAATTTCCTGTACTCATTGACCTCTATATGCAAAAGAGCCGGGTGGGGAAAGCAGAGTGCATTATGAACTGGGAAAGTAAAGATGGAGCAGGATAGTGTCAGCTTGAACTGAAGATTTAGATAAGTGCCAGCATCAAGTGGAGAACAAGGAGAGTAGAGCAAAAGTGTGATTTGACTCTGGCAACAAACAATGCCAGTATGAAGAGTGAAGAGAAGGCCCTAGAGTGACCATGAATTTCTACAGAACAGCTCTTGATTTGTCATCATAACTCAGTAAGAAGTGCAGCATAACATGAGTCGTCAATGCAGTTCCACCAAAGTTACAGAGGCAGCATGAAAGCAGCACCAAGGAAGTTCCTGACAAGTCTCTCTATGTCATGGTGACAACATTATAAATAATTTAAGAGTAATTTAGCAATTAACTGTATATATAGAGAGAATGCCAATACATGTTCACATTAATCTACAATTGCCCATCCCTAATTTCCCTTCAGAAGATGGCTCATGAAAAGTGGCATGAGGTGAGTAATTCAGATTTTACAAGGCAAGGGTCATGTGTAGAGTTTGACATCCTACTGGGCCAAACAACCCACTTGACTGGTACCATATCCATCACCTTCATTCCCTCTAAGTGGCCATAGTGTATATCATCTCTAAAAGATGCACTGCAGCACTTACGATGGCTTGTTTGATAGCTTTTACCAAACCCACAACTTTATCACCTAAAAAGTAAAAGGCAGCAAATATATGGGAGCACTGTTGTCTCCAAGTTCCCTTCCGAGTCAAAAACTGTCCTAATTTGAAAATATATCCTCATTTCTTCACCATTGCTGAGTTAAACTTTTGGAATTCCCTCCCTAACAACACTATGGCTGTACCTCCATTAACAAAGAGCAGTGCTTCAAGTAGGCAGATCAACATCACTTCCTCGAGGGGAGGTTGGGACGAGCAATAGATGCTTGTAGGCCATACTTACATCCTGTCAGTCATCTTTTATAAAGTGACAGTTTTACAGGTATCCATTTTAAGGATCGTAAAAGAATTGATGTTATCACCAACTTTTTGTTGGTGTTTAAAAGCTTCGCTGGAATTTGGAGAGTGATGAACGTGCATGAAACTTTGTCGTTCCCAACTTCATAGGAAAGAGAATAGGCAAAAGAATTCAGTCCCTTTGTTTGATACACTGCTGAATGGAGTAGATACTTGAAACCTTGTTACAACATAAGAAAACTGCACATTAAATACTCAAACTCTGACATTTCAGTCAGAACTACGTTGATCAAGGAAGTGAGTACACATAAAAGTAGGCAAGTAAATATGCAGAAGCATAAATAAATATTATAGACAACAAGAATGGGATCACTGCTTTCAAGTATCTAAGTGCTTTCAAAGTACTTAATCCTCTACTGTATTTCCATGAATTTCCAGGAAAGTTAAGTTGAAATGCAGTTGAAGAAACCAGTCAGTCATTTACATTTTAGAAATATCCATAAGCCACATCTAAAGTGTGAAATGGTGACAATGATTAATATTCTAATTATTAATGCTCATTTATTCACTTCCTCAGCCAAGCAGATCATCGATTAGTGCACTGGAGAACCATTATTATTAAACTATGCCATGTTGCTGAAAGGTCTAGATTCTCATTAATAATTCTTTACTATGCTTCAGGTGAAAGCACGTGAGAAATATATCAGCAGTCTGAAAAAGAAGCTGCAGAAGGAATCTGAGCAAAGCCAGGAACGACAACAGAGAATAGAAACTCTAGAAAAGTACCTTGCTGACCTACCCACCTTGGATGATTTTCAGAGCCAAAGTCAGCAGGTAAAAGAGAAAAAGGGTCATCAGTTCTGGACTTACAGAGCTCTGACAAATATTTGATAAATGCAAAACAAAATGGACACTTATTTTTTGCATGTGATTTTGTGTGGACTTCTTTCCAGCTATCTTCTGTTATTTTCAGTAGCTAAATACTGTGCAGGCTGGTTATTGCATGGTTATTGCATGTTGGTGCTCTGTCTCCAGCTGGGCGTTTGAAATGGTTTGCATCATCACAGTTGTTTCTTCTCTTGGGCAAAAGAATGCCACAAGTCAATGGGAATGCTGCGGAATGTTGAGATAGTGTTTACAGGATTTTCCAGTGGCATTGCTGGCGTTGTTTCTCCAAGGGTCTGAGGTGTCTGCTTGTACATGGTCCATATATCCGATGCATACAGAAAGGTTGCTAACATCGGCTGTGACCTTGAAGTGGTGCCAGAGTTGAGGTCTTTGTCATCAAACCCTTTGTTCCTCAGATGTCCAAATACTGCGCTGGTGCACTGGACGCCATATTAAGTTTTAACATCATTATGTGCCCTTGCTGAGGATCCCACCACCTGTGGCAGAGTGTGTGGATTTAGGACTTGATTATTTTGTCACTTCAGACCCAGTACTCTGGATTGAAAGAAAGTCATCTTCAGTCTTGAGGGGCTGCCTAAGAAGAGAAGTGGGTAGGATGAGAATAGCTTTGCCTGTATGACCCTGATACTAAATTATAAGAATTTATTTATAAGACTGTATTATCTCAGTAGTGCCAAGAATCCATGTCTGTGTATGAATTCTAGAATCTCTTAAAGTTGGCTCAGTATCTTGAATGCTTCCATTGTATTAGAATTGATCAATGTTGTTCATGGTTTGCTGTGGATCTTATTAGTCAGTGGGTAGTGTTGTGCAGTGGGAGCAGACTGGTACAGACCTTTGCCCTCTAGATGTTTAGTCTAAGGTGCATTTTCTCATATGCATCCATAAATGCATCAACGATGTTTTAGAACTTGGATTCTGAGTGTGCACACTGCTTACTGCAGCTCAATGAGGTTGGGCGATCTAAAATTCTTGTAATTGCATATTGGAGGCATGTCAGCAAAGCCACTTCCATCTAATCCTTTAGCCCTCCATGAACATCATCCCATTCTGCCTAACCTCTGTCTGCCAAACAAAAATGCATAAGTAATTGAAGATTAACCAAAAATAGGTTGCATGCTTCCAATTCTGACAAATTGCCATCACCATTTGAAAATAACACCGATTTTTGCTAAAATATAAAACCAATTAAAGAAGTGCATAGCACAGGAATTAATGTTTCATTTAAATTATTTAAGATTTAGGATTAAGAGTAATTCAGCAGGAAAGAATTGCTGTGATAATGAAACAAAATGCTCTTCATAATTTTGCAGCTCTTATTATTCCATTATAACAGTACCAAGATCATTCACAATTATATTTTTCCTGTCCTCAGGGGAAATTGGTCTTCCGAAGCCAAAGCTAATGCAAAATATATTATGTACAAATTGAGCTACTGTGATGTGAAATTGGACCTTTATTACCCTGATTACATTTTTATTACATATATACTTCAACAAGCAAATCTTTAGGCACAAAAATGCTGAATTGTGACGAGTGCTGTATTTGTGGGTAGGTACAAATGGGTATTAAACACTCAAAGAAAGAATAAACTGAGATTCAGCGGTGATGCATAATTCAAATTCACAATGTACTAGTCATTTATTTATGTCTTAGCATATGAGGCTAAAATAACTAAATGAGGCTTTCCACATGGGTAGTCACCAAGTGGTTTTAATTAGTTTTAGAAGCAAATTATTCAAAGGAAATGGTTGCAGAATGCTTTATTACTGTAGTTATAGACATGTACCCATTTACAGCTCAAAAGAGTGCATAATTATGCAAATTTAGCTATAAATACAAACATGTCTGTATACTCCTTTGGCATTCCAATTAAGTTTTTTTTTGCAAACAAGACTCCATCATAATTTAATTGAAGAATAGCTGAAAGTGAACTGATAGTAACTCATCTATTTCAGAGCATTTTTACTGTCCAAAGACCCAGCTTATCTCCCAGGGAACTATTGTAATTGGTATCTATTTCTGGCTTCCAAACCAATCAACGGTTTTCTAATTAATCTGAATTTTCTTTTAAAGTTTTTATTTTAACTTCACAACAGCAATAGTGGAAGGAAATTAATTGCGTTAATTTAACTAGAGGAAATTAAAATTTGAGGTGCCCAATAACCCACAATATAGAGACAGGGAAGATGTACAAACAGCTGCTAGGAGGCTGATCCTTGAGGTGAAATTTGGACCTGGCGTGTTTTCATCTCTTACACAGAACACACATAGTTTGAGTTGAGGCAGAGAAAAATGAGGCATGTGGAGACAAAAAGATGAACTCTGACCATCTCTCGGCTTTGTTTGTTTGCGATTGGTCTGCCAAATTGTCACCCAAAAACCACCACCATGAAGAGAAACCTCCTTCACTAGTGTGTGACCCACATTGATTTTCTAGCTGAGCCCCTACTGATTGTGTTAAATGAAGACCAGATAATAGTCAATTGTTTTTTCCTTTATTCATTCACAGGATGAGGGCATCGCTGCCTAAGCAGCATTTATTGCCCATCCTAATTGCCCAGAGTCAGCCACATTGCTGTGGGTCTGGAGTCACATCTAGGCCAGACTGGGTAAGGATGACAGTTTTCTTCCCTAAAGGACATTTGTGAACCAGATGGGTTTTTCCAACAATCGACAATGGATTCACGGTCATCATTAGATTTTTAATTCCAGATATTTTATTGAATTCAAATTCCACCATCTGCCATGGTGGGATTCGAACTGGGTCCCCAAAACATTATCTGGGTCTCTTCATTAACAGTTTAGCGATAATACCACTAGGCCATCACCTCCCCCATATGTAATGGTAAGTTCTGGAATATGCTCATTGCCCTAGATCGTCACAAAACCAATCTGATTTGTGAGAACTCAATTCTCTAATATAGATCATTTGTCTCATATTTCATATATTGTCCTAAACATGAATTAGTTTATGCACCTATGGAAGTTAAAGTTTCTCTGAAACCAATATAATTTTATGTTTAATTAAATCAAAATCTCTTCCAGGTAATACATTGTAAAATAATACAAAATAGGATTTATTCATTAATGTTATATTAGCACTTTATAGATTTGATACATTTTAGCAGGAAGGATGATGGTTAACAATATAAACTGAAGAATGCCATTTTAAAGTAAGTGCAAGGATAGAGAGACCAGGGTTCTTTGTGTACATTTCTTTGAAGATAGCAGGACAAGTTATCCATTTTGGAAGGTTTGGAACAGATTTATATCTCATAGAATTCCTACAGTGTGAAAGCAGGCCAATTGGCCCATCGAGTCCACACTGACCCTCTGAAGAACATCTCACCTGAACCCACCCCCTTATCCAATCCCTGTAACCCTGTATTTCCCATGGCTAACCCACCTAGCCTACACATCCCTGGACACTATGGGCAATTTAGTATGGCCAATCCACCTAACCTGCACATCTTTGTACAGTGGGAGGAAACCAGAGCACCCGGAGGAAACCCACGCAGACACAGAGAGAATGTGCGAACTCCACACAGACAGTCACCTGAGGGTGGAATTGGACCCAGGACCCTGGCGCTGTGAGAAAGCAGTGCTAACCACTGAGCCCTTGAACCACTGTGCTACCCTAGAATTTACTAGAATAGTCCCAAGGATAAGCTACATAGACATCACTGGAGAAGCTGTATTATTCATTTTTTTTCAGTAGTAAAGGCCACAAGGAGTTTTTAAATCAAAAAGATTGTAAATGGAGTTAATAAAGAGAAGCTATTTCCTTTTTGTTGATGGGTGAATAACCAAAGGGCACAGAATTGAAGTGATTGGCAAAAGATCCAGAAGTGGCATGAGGAAAATCTTTTTTTAATGCAATGACAGTTTAGGATTTGGATTATGTTTGAAATGGTGGTCGAAATAGATTAAATGGTAGAGATCAAAAGGCGCTTGGGTAAAAACTTGAAGACAAACAAAATGTTGGATAATGATGAAAGAACAGGAAAATGGGACATACTAGACTGTTCTTTGAAAAAAATCAACACAGACCCCATGAATCAAATAGCTTTCTGGTTTGCTGTATGAGTCTATGATACTATGATTTCATATTGTCTTTAACACCAAAAGGTATTCCAAGGTGGTTAATGGAAAGGATGAAAATATTAAGAAAAAGATAGCAGGAAGAGTGGCCAAAGTCTTGGCCAAAAGGATCAACAGGAGATGGAAAATTTATGGAATTAAGAGAGGGATTACTTATTTGCACGTTTTTGAAGCTGAAAGCACGGCAGCCAATGATGTGAAAAAAGGAAGGAAAATGCAGCCGAAGCAAAGTTAGAAGAAATAAACTGTTGGTAGTGAGGGGTTGACAGAGGATTTGGTGTCAAAGAGCTGAAAGTGGTTTAAAAAGAAAGAATAAAGCACAAAGGAATTTTAACATGAGATCAAAGGAAAATGAAAGAGCCAATAAAAGGTCCTTAAGATCTGTGGAAGGAGCAGTTTAAAGGTAGGAAGAGAACCAATTATTTGAGCTATTTCAGCCACTATAGA